ACCTGTATTAGAAATAATGGTATCTGGCCTTTTCCAGGCTAGCGCACGGAAAAACTTTTTCATTATACCTCTCCGAAAGTACTGTCTTTTCATGTATCCCAAGCGCACCGAAAGTAGGGTTTTCCCGTGCGAGCGCACTGGAAAACTTTTTCCCGTGCGCTACGAATAATCAAGTTTGCCATAGCTATCCCTATCCCATGCGTTGCCATGCATACCGCGGATTGACTTTGACATATATGTCAACCGATTTTTTACCATTGTGTTAAAAATGGATTTTGGTGAAGGCGAAATTCCCGCTAATATATTAAGGGAAGCTGCAGAAACCAGTTCCCAACTATTACCAGCGAAATCAAAAGAGAGATGCGAAAAGGAATATGAAAAATTTCATAACTGGTGCATTGAAGAAATCGTGAAAAGAGTACGTTATGGAGTAGGTTTTCAATGATTAAGAACATTCTTACGGTAAAAGAAAATGAAAACGCTAGCAAATTGTGCAAAACCGACTTTTTGAAGCGTCAGACCGTCCGTCCGCTACATCCCAAAAAAATCAAAAGTTCTGTATAACAAGGGAGCAATTTTTGAATGAAGCTGCAGAGATAAAATGGTGATTACTTACTAAGGTTATTTTAGTATTCGGAAATTTGGAGCAAGATGCAGGGGAGACGATACAATTCGCTCGACTATTGATGATGCGTTGAAGATAATGGGGGTTTAAGGGTCATAAGACAAGCAACAGAATTTGTTGTCAAATTGGATTTGGACTTCAATGTAAATAATTATTCTCCGTTATTTTCGGAGAGGTATAATGAAAAATATCGTTCATTACACGTCCAGAAAGGCTTTTCCCGTGTTTGCATGACTTCCCGTGTTCGGCTTCGCCTCACACGGGAAACGTCATGCGCCCACGGGAAAATCTTCCTTTCTGGACTGGTAATGAAAAATACTATTCCGGTCCCTTTTATTCTTTCCGTGCGCTGAATATAAATACCCAAAATATTGCTTTAAAATACAAAATTTACAGGGAAGTAAACTAATTTTCAGAAAATCTATATGCGTTGTAATGTTTCATATGTAAGTTTTTTGCGTTTTAATTCATAGATGTTTGAATATTTAGATAAACTTCTTTGAGAAATTTGTGACATTTTTTGACGTTCGTCAACCTTATCTGAAATAAACTAATTAAACAAAATCGCCTTAAAAATGTTTAAGCGAGTTTGTTGTTTTTTATGTTATCGATTTAAAAGAAAAGTATAATAAAAAATATTGTTCATTACACGTCCAGAAATGCTTTTTCCGTGCTTGCATGACTTCCCGTGTGAGGCGTTCCCGCCACGCGCGCACGGGAAAAACCTGCTTTCCGGACTCCTAATGAAAATATACTATTACTCAAATCGTCCTGAAACCTTCATTTTCATGCATACTTTCTGTCAGGAAATTTTAGTTTCCATGACAGAGGCAGAGCAGACTACGTTTGCAATTTGATTTGTATTAACAACTGATGTTCTCATTTTCCTAGATTTGAATATCTTGGGTTGGCCAAATTAGACCAAATAAAAGGAAATAAGAAGATCTTAGTAAAACCGCTTACAATTTCTGAGAGAGATAGAGCAAAAGACGTAACGTATGTATAATTTTGTTTATGGTACCATCAAACTAACAGTATTAATCAGGGAATCACTATGTGCCTTGGAGTTGGCAGAATATCGAAATCAAATGAAGAAACGTCCCCTAATGATAAATACTGCTACCACTACAGCTCCTGTTAACAATGCTCATAAAGGTCACAGACGGAGGGCAAGGGCGCTACGACGTGCAGAGTCAGTTGCAACTGATGGCACAGAGGGCGAAGTGGTAGGTAGGCGGTCCAATTTGCATATGCTAGAAATTACCTTATAGGAGTCGAATAACTCCAATAGTAGTGTAAGAAGTGATGATTCTGAAAACCATGAAGACATATCGACATCAGATTCCAGTTCGGAATGTTCAGAGTCGTCTGGGTATTCAGATTGGGTTGCCGAACACAGCGTTAATTTAGAGCCACCAAAGAGATCGAAACGCAGACAAACTACAACCAATGCAAAGAAGAAACAAATCAGTTCAGAACCCAATAATGTTACTGAAGAACCAACAACTGCCACTCCTAAACCTGTATGTATCTCCAACATTAAAGAGTGTGTGTTTTATGTGTTAGTTTAGGTAATAAATAATGCAAAAACAACAAAAGAACTTCCCGAAATATATAAACCTCTCGAATGGTTATCCGAAACGATGCCTTGTAAAGCGCCCTACTTCCCCCAGATGGGCGACGAGATTGTGTACTTCACTCAAGGTCACCAAATGTATGTTGAAGCCGTTAGGACTAAATCAGTTTACGAGACTAATCCCAAGGATTTGCCTTGGTCAAAAATGGAGTTCAAAGTGAGCTTAATTTTTCCCGCCAACTGTATTACTCAATGATAATGTCTTTAGGATCACGAATTCGTAAAAGTTGTTGGCATCAAATATGAAATCCGGCCACCCAGGTTATGTTGTTTAAAATTGGCGTTATTGGATTCAGAAAGTCGCCTTACTGGAAATATATTTACCATCAAATATCATGATATGGCCGACGTTTTAGATTTTCTAGTTTTGAAACAAACTTACGATGCGGCGATTTCTCGAACGTGGAATGCCGGTGACAGGTGATTATTTTTTTTAAATTGTGTAAGGATCTAACTTTTGCTTGGCGATTTGTTTGAAAGTGCTAGCGCATTTTTACAGAGTTGGCAAAATTAGATGCTTTACCTGTGGATGCTACCTTTTCTTTCCTAGGCATAATTCACATTTGAGAAATTAGAACTCATTTATCTTTAATAATAACAAAATCAACCAAACATAGCGAAATTATTTTGCATCTTGTTTAGATTTCGTTGCATGATTGACGATTGTTGGTGGATGGGCAAAATCGTATCCAAATCGCCATTGTCGGCCGATTCTCCAAATTCCCTCTTTATGAGTTACGAAATACAGTGGGATAGTGAAGAGTTTGAACGAATGAGCTCTTGGGATTTAGAGCCGATAAGGGAAGATAGTAAGTAACAATTCAATCTTATCAATTATGTAATCGTAAACTTTCCAGGATTGCCGGAAAATATGGGAGATCCTGTGAAAGTCTTGCCCGAAGAAATACAGAACATATTGTATCGTCCCCAAGCTGAAGAGTGGCCTCATGGTGATCGTGAATCAGCATGCAAAAAAATTTGTGAGGGTCTGGAAAAGGTTATGGGTCTTGCAATTGCGGAACCATTTCTAGCTCCCGTGGACCTGAGTCAGTACCCAACCTACGCTTACATTGTCGAGTACCCCATAGATCTGTCGACGATTAAAGCTAGACTTGAAAATAATTTTTATCGAAGAATTACTGCAGCTCAATTTGACGTACGTTATTTGGCGACAAATGCGGAAAAATTCAATGAACCGCACAGCATTATTGTTAAACGTGCTAGAATAATTAGTGAACTGTGCTTAAAGATAATTAAGTAATTATTTCGTTACAGTAATGCATGTATTCTAAATGTGTTCTGTTTAAGGAGTTATTCTGAAAATCTTGATGTTGGTGCAGTCTATCATCAATTGATGGATACTTACCAATCAACAGACAGTGAGGCTGAAGTTATACAATCGGGACCATCAACTAGCCGATCGCTAGCTTCTTTAATTACACGAAGATTACGACATCCAGATGACTGGAAACATGAAGCTCGTGCCTTATTAGAAACTTTATGGCGCTGTGAAGACTCTGTTCCATTTAGAACACCTGTTGATAACTTAAAGCATACAGGTACACTTTTCCAGAACCTTTTCTTGAAGTTAAAGATTCATGGGTAGTATACATTTTCTTCCGTGTGTGTTCTATACATAGACTGCCACTAAACCAAAAAAATGTGGGAAAATCAACTCTTAGGTTCAAGAGAAGAGTTTAAATAGCAAAGGTAGTCATGACTAAAGGCCGCTTTACATACTGCAATTCTTTGTGCAATACAGTTGCAGCAAGTTTAATTGCAAAAATACTGTACATGCAATAATTATTGCACTTTGGTTTTACACGCGGCAATTTTCTTTTTGCAAGAGTTTGTTACCAACATTCGCATTTAAAATTGAACTAAAAGCTTTATTCTATTCAAAATTCATCAGGTGTTGTTATAATTCTGAATGCGTTTTGAGTAAAAATGAATAGACACTTTAATCGAAAAAAGGCAGTCGCAGCTTCAATTTGTGTAGTAATAGTAGTAATAATAACAAAGTCTAGTTTCAACGTTTGGGAATTTTAGAACCTGGCGTTGTCAATACTTTCCCCCAAAATATCACGTGCAAGTGCAATAAAAATCGCGCGCGACCGCTAACCTGCAATTGCAAGCAATTGCAAGTGAATTGCCAAAATGAATCAGCTGTTTCTCAAACGCGCATGCTTCTGGGCAAGTTTTATTGCGTATTGCATGGTCTTGCATGAAGAATTGCAGTATGTAAAGCGGCCTTAAGGTTAGGCAAAAAAGTTGATATGGTTGCGGATGTATCCACTCAGGGTTGGACGAACATTTTGAAGTGACCTGACAAAATGAACTATATTAGCGGCCCGTATCTTAACGAAAGTAGAGGGACCGAGAAAATTTTTGGAAGCCATACCCAATTTTCATTCAAAAACCTGTTCAAAGCTTTTAAACATTTTTTTAATGGCGTAATATAAGGTAAATTTTTACATACAAGGTGTTACGAGATTCGCACCCACGGACAATGTGACTTAATTCTGAGACAATACTGAATAGAAAGCTCGTATTACATTTTTGCGATCAGACAAATAGGTTGGCCAGGCGAATGCATGGCAGTTGAAATCACCTGCTATCACCACGTTTTTAATGTGAGTTCTGATGCTTTGCCTGAGTCTCCACAGGTATGCTTCGAATTCTTGTAGATCTCTGTTTGATGAGAAGTAGCAGTTATATCCGATCATATCGTTTCCATCTTCCCACTTAGCTAGCACTTGAATGTTGATTTTTTTTATTGACGCGTCTTGAGTTTTATCAAAGAACTACGTTGTTTAAAATGGATCTATTTGACTCGCAGATCAATAGAAAATCCTTTGTTTTTCATGGGCAGTTAGGAACAGTAAATTCAACAACTTGTAGGATTTTAATGCCTATTTTTACAGGTTGCATCTCTTTTTCTCCTCTCCTCTACTATTAGATCTCTGTATTTCAGACACGTCTATTCATCGGCTTTGTGCCTTGCCATATCACATGCGCTTATACAGTGAATTTTTTTTAAATGCGAAGGAGTTTGCATGCAATGTAATTTCCCTATGTTCGATTTTAAAAAAAACACATCAATCTATTGAGTAGTTCAAATGAGTAGTAGATACACTTGACAACTGTCACATTTTTAAAAATACCGCCGTCCAATTTAATTACGAAATCGGTTAGGTTATTGCTTAGAATGTCAAGGAGGACACTTTGAACATTTATTGTAGTTGTTTGCGTTATTTATTTTCTTATTTTCTTCATTTATGTATTGAATAAATCAAATTAGTAGAATACCAGGTACACATGACCTACAAATAATTGAAGGTTGGTTCACAATGATTTGTGGTGTCAGTGCGTGACCTGTGAGGTCAAGTTATCGTAAGTTTAAGAAAAATGTATCCTAAAGTTGCTATGGCCTCACATCGCTTCTTTAAAAACATCTTACCGAGTGCTCTTCATCATAAAGACTGGAGTTGCTGTTCGTAGTCACACAAGTTGCGCGATTTGGGAATGTGAACCGCGCACACCTCATAGATTGATGTGTTTTTTTTTAAATCGAACATAGGGAAATTACATTGCATGCAAACTCCTATGTTCGCATTTAAAAAAAACGCACTGTATACCAATATTTATCCTTTTTGCAGTTTTGTGCCTCATGACAGTTTTCTCCCCAATTGAACGAACAGATTCCTTGTTTTAGTGCATTTTCCGACGCCTTAACTACTCCTACAATTTTCAAGAGTTTAGTTCGTCCTTTTTGCATTCGGTAGATGAATGAGTTCTTGCTTTTCCGTACACAAGACGCTAGTGACGGTATTTACCACACATGCAGTACGGTGATCACCAACGTGGCGAGCAGGGGGCATGTCATGAATTTCCCCATAAGCATTACATTATAGTGTTTTTATTTAATGCTTGTAGGTAGTTCCTCCTTTTGGTTTTACTATTATAGTCCATGCGTCCATTGTATGTCCTGCTCTTTTTTTATCACATCTCCTATTATGTGATTTGCTTTTACAGATCTATTGCCATTTGGTTCATCTATGAAGTTAAGCAGAAAGTGTACATGCACATTTTTGCTTGATATTTGTAGTTTTGGTACGCTCTGGATAAATCCTCCTACATCTGAGAGGCATTCCCTTATCCGCAACCTAGAGAGGCGTCCAATGAGTACCACGAGAGCAGATGTCGGTTCACATGTAGTGTCTAGTAAGAATACGATCTCTGAATTCATTTACTCTTAAAACGTCGTTTGTGTTCCTTTATCACACTAAATTACAACAAATTTTTGCTATTAGTAACATACTATCATTAAGTAATTGATTAAAATTTGATTTAAGTGGATCATCCTGTTGGAGTTAACAATTTATATGTTCAGATTAGTTCCCCCTTCATACTGACAAAAGGGTTTTGAGTATTACTTGGGATCCCAAATAAGTCAAGAAAAAATGCTCCATTGAAATTTTGTAATATGTTACCCTATTTACAGGCTGAATTAGTTCTATTGTCATATGTACATCTATTACCAGTGTTTTCATTGTGAAAATGTCGTTTGGGTTGTTTTGAATGTGGTCGCAGTATTCTAAAAGGTGAAAAAAAATGACAATAAATTTAATTCGGCTCAAAAAAGGACCAATATCTTGATAAGTCCTGGTTTTAGTAAATATCATCGTAAGGTAAAAATGCTTCACATTTTAAGACCCAGTTAGCGTGAGTTTATTGAATACGTTGCCAAAAATGTGGTATTTTACGTTTGTACTTGCAAATATACTGTGTAATATATCTTTGACTTTGGATACTGTATGTTATGTCGTCTTGTACGGAGTTGTACCTTGTCTCAAATACGTGATGTGTCGCCACGCGCTATTTGTTCATTACATCACATTTTTGAAAGGGGTGTATTTTACAGTGGGCTTAATACAATAGTGACTGTAGTATGGTAAAGCAATAGCATGTCACGTTAATAGAAAGAAGTAGATAGGACTAAGAGAACTGTGTGACTTTTGCAGCTGGTAAAAATCAGTTTTTTTTAACCACGATAGCGCGCCTGCACTACAGATCAAGAAATTTTCGGATTTATGGCTCAGTGGTAAGTGCATTGGGTTATAAATCCGGAGGTCGGGTGTTCGAACCTGGGTTGAGGTGAATTTTTCATCTGTGGCGGAGATGGAAATTACCTTAGACCAGTTCCGAGCATTCTACCGGCTACTCCGAATTAGGTTTTGCTGCAGTTTTCCTAATTCGTAAGGTAAATACCGGAGTAGTATAGACCATCTTAAGACCTTCTGCAGAGGCACCTCTAAACAGCATTATGCGGGTCACTCTGTAATTGGGTGCATGCCTGTTGAGGGCCCAAAACAAGAGAGGGATAATAAAAAATTGTACCAATTTATTGATGTCAACATTCACTTGTTGGTGCAATGCAATAAGCAAGTTTATATTGTGTATATTGGACGCGTTTGTTGAATTTTAACTTTCCTCGTCACTGTTTTCGTTTTCCAGTACACATCTCGTGCTGCGAGTCTCCTGTTATTCTGTATACTTCCCTTAAAGAACGAAAAAGATTCAAGTTTCTGTCCATGTATAAATGCTGGTTCAAGCTGTAATGCGTACGTTTCAATTTCTAGCGCAGCTACCTTTGAAGTATATTTGAGAATTATATCTTGTTGCCACGATGCATTGTTTATGGCAATAACTAATTGGTCACATAATCTTTCGTTTAACGTGACCCCAAACTTGCACTTCCCGGCTAACGCGCGTAATTCACTCAGGAATTGTGTAATCGATTCTGAAACGTGTCGCAAAACTCACTCTTTATAATGATAATAATAATAATATTTAATTCATGTGCAGGCAGTACAGAAACAGCTTACAATCGTCATACAAACGGATGATTGCTGCCCCGCGTCCCTCTCTGTACCTCCGTCGTCTCGAAACGCCATTTCCTAGGAAAAATCCGTTTATCCCCAAACAATTTTGAATTTTACTGGAAAAATTAACACTTCGTCCCCGTCACGCGTCCACATAATCCGTATGGACCACTACAGGGTTAATCTTGTACCGTTTTAAATTTTTTTTCGTATCTCCTCTCCTTAGCCCGCTACTTTATCGGCGCGCGCCCTGGCCCCATTGCTACCACGTCGGACCTAAAAACAAAAAGTGTTATTTTCTTCTTGTATTATGTTTAAATTAAATAAATAATAATTAACGGCCATCAATCTCTCAAATTTCCATTGCAGATTATTATCAAGTGATTGATACTCCAATGGATCTTGGAACAGTCAAAGAGGATCTTCTTGGAGGCAACTATGAAACACCTCTTGACTTTTGCAAGGATATGCGTTTGATCTTTCAAAATTCGAAGAATTATAACACTAATAAAAGATCACGTGTAAGTATTTTAAACGAATTTAAATGTATGTAAACATACGGTTCCACTTAGATTTACGCAATGACAATAAGATTATCGGCAATGTTTGAAGAGCATATGACAAGGATTCTGTACAACTGGAAGATAGCGAGACGGCGATCCAGTACATCTCTAAAACGCAATCTGAAGAGAAGTCGTCGAAAAAAATTGAATAATCAGTCATTTAAAGAAAGTCCATCTGAAGAATCGTCGGCAGCTGAAGAGACGAAATCTAAAAGCCCGACACGAAACATGGAAGAAACAAATGGTCATGTTAGTGAGTTTCAGTTGAGTGAAAATAGTGAGGATAAGAATTCTAGTTCGAGGGAATCGTCTTGTTCATCATCAAGCAGTGAACAATCGACATATAAACCTTCCAGTTCAGGAATTAAAGTGAAACGCTTAGAGGGTACTTCCAAGCGAAAACCGGTGCTAAATTCCTACAAGAAAAACGTAGGGCGGCGGAAATCTTCATCGTCAGAGGCCACCAATACTGACGACAGTGAATTACCAAAGAGACAATCTGTGAAACGGAAAGTTAATAATTTAAGAAGCAGAGGTTCGACAAGTCGCGTCAGTTCAGACAGTGATGACATTAGAACTTCTTTGCGCAAACGTAGCATGAAAAGGCCACGTTATGTTGAAGATTCTGACAGTGTCGGTTCATCCGCAGCTCAGGAGAATGGGAACGATACCGATGATACTGATGCCGATGTCACTACAGTTAGTAGTAGGGGACGTGTTCGACGACTCACGCCACGTGCTAAAGCGCTATTGAAAAGATAGTTAAAGTTGAGATACAAACTTCTCTAAAAGCTAATGTGATGTTTTTAATATATTTAACGAATTAAAATATACTCTTGTTTTTAGATATATTTTTAATACACTAAATAATTTACTGTTACAAGGTTTTAATTTTACTCATTTTTGTACCAGTGTTTGTGTAAGTAAGTTTAACGTATGTGACCAACATCAGACCCGCACGAATTGTTGTAAATATGTTTTTTATTTCATAAGCGTTGTCTGTTTTCATTGTACATATTATCTCAAGTTTTTCAATTAAAAATTTTGTATTAAGTTTTGGATACTGTTTTGACCTTTTTGACGGAAATACACATTCTGAGGCACCCAGGAACCCAAATCAAACTAAATCTCGATGATCTTGGTCTGTCCTATTTCCGGCTGAACCAATTGGAACTAAATTTGCTACACACGTCCTTAGATCTAAAAGGAAGAGCTGTAAAGCTTTTGGGGAGAATAGCGCATGCGCAGGTGTTATCTACTAGCCACAGCAAATCTTTTTAAATACCGTTTCATTTTAAGAATGCAGGTGTACATTTCACTTCCCTAACCACTTCTAAACATAGTTGTGAAGCCTAATAGATTAGAATTGCGCCCTTGTAAGGCGTTCTGATTTCTACATGTAGAAAATTTAAACTAGCTTTGGCAAGAATTAGCAATTACCAATTAGCGCCTACACATCTATGAGTTTAATGATCAATGAGAAGGCAAAGTGGAAGAACAGAATCAGATGAATTCTCCATAGATATTCTAATACTCTGTTACTCACACAATGAACAAGCTAATTTTGTGTACTTATTGTTAATGATGGTTTTTTTCTTAATTTCTGTGTTATACAATGCTATACAATACGTACTAAATTTTTACTTAACTCTCAAACCTAGCAAGGTAGATGCTGCATTTGATTTAACAGAACTACACAACCATTGTCTCACCCTGTACGATGGTAAACCGAAAGAGGAGCCACAGCCTACGAGTTTTGTGCCTGCGCTTGCGCAACCTACGACCTAACCTCAAAGATAAATAAATTATTTTCCGTTTATTTAAATAATAAAATGTTCAGCACATATGTCACAAAAATATAAAATCAACTTCTTCTCTCGTAAGAAGCTTCATTTCTTTTTAAAACCAATAATCATATTATCAGTTATATTTATTATTTATCAATTAATAATGTTTATTCAATTAACTAAAGACGTCAATAAAGAATTACCTTCACCTCCGAATCTAGTTCTGGGCACACACCCGCTACAAAGCCAGTTTTATACACCGCAAGAAGGTCAGTTCTCGTGTATAACTAGTAAGGAGAAAATCAGTTTTGATTCCTTAAACGACAATTATTGCGATTGTCTGGACGGATCAGACGAACCCGGTACAAATGCGTGCTCCAATGGGCAGTTTTTTTGCACTGAACAGACAGACAGCTTTTATCCAAAACTTGTACCGTCAACAAAAGTTAATGATGGCATTTGCGATTGTTGTGATGGGTCTGACGAATGGTTGCACAAAGTATTACCTTTTAGATTAAGTGGTAAGCTTTGATTCGTAAATTATAAAACGAATTATTAATTATTGTTATTTTAGATGCTGTACAGGATAAATTAAAACGTTATCAGTCACCATGTTCATATAAATGCAATAAACATAAGTAATGATTTTATTAGTGTTTAAATATCATATTTATTACAAATTTTGCTGAGGCAGTAGTGTAATGTTGATCTATACCTCACTACAGAATTGATATTGATTTGCTAATGGCAAATTTGACTAATATATTTGTAATAAGTACAAATGCTGTTTGCTATGTGTATTGTTAAATTTCCATATTCCTATACAAGCTACTTAATAATAATCATAAGAAATTAAAGGTTTCTAATAAGAGGGACAGACCATGTATCGATAGTTGAAGTTTGAGCTGTACTGAGGGCAAGTAAGTCATACCACCACAGATTTATCTGGAATATTGTTTATTAAAAATGACTCTCGTTCCGACTTATGCTTCTCTCTACAAACAACATTTTTTTAGCAGCTCGTCATTTTATTGTTAATTTATTCCGGTGGCAAAAATATGTTTGTTCCATGATATGAATTTCTAGTAAAAAGCGCATTAATTTGTATAACAAAAAGGGACATTTATTGGCAAACTTGGTGGTGACCTTCACCGAAATTGGTTAAAACACAAGTCGGTATTACGCTGAAAAAGAAAACCAGTGATGAATTTTGTATTTAAGCTGGTACTTTCTGTTACCAACCAAAGTGTTGAACGGTCAATAGTTGTTAATGTCAAAGATCCAAATGTGAAATCACTTTACACATTTCTTTATTTATTTATTTGCCTTTATTTTTGAGTGGGCGGGGTTTCAACCACGTCTGCTCTACCAACCCAACCCACTATATACATTTACAAATATCCGTGCCAGAACCAGGGACCCTTAGCACCACAGTCCCAGTTTCAACTGAACTGCGCCACTCGGACCGGCATTTCAATTCACAGTGCTGGATATTTCTACTTTACAATAATTTGGTGCCCTTTTATATTTTCCTTGTGTGTGCTTATATCTTCAAACCAGAGCACAATCTACTACCTTCTAGTAATGAATGCAGTATAGGCTGAGTACAAAGTGCAAATTTATTTTATTAAATGTTCAAAATAGCTTCACTAGCAGGGGCAGACTGGCTACAGAGGTCAGGAGGAGTGGAGGACAACCTATCTATCGTAGCATAGGTATATTGGAATTGTGTTTGATGGCAATATTGAAATTAATTCTTGCACTAATAAATTTGACAACGCACACATATAGGTATATTGGGGTGTGATATAATGTTATTGTTGAAATATGTATATATACTTATGGTAAAGTTTAGCGTACGTATGTATTTTATTGCTAGAACAACCTACGATTTATTGCATTTTAGAAA